TGTTAACAACTGGAGCAAGGTGTGGTCTTGTCTAACTTCAGTATCTAGAAACATGTACTAACAGTCCCCAGGAATATCTTTGCATTCCATATTTATTGTCTTGTTATCTAACCCTAATTTCCTTCTATGCTCACACCAGAAAGCAATCTCTCTCATATAGCCACATGTGTACAAATAAATAGCCATTTATTAATTTACAAAGAAACCCAGTAGGAAAGATGGGGTAAAAATAAATAAATGTACAGGAAGAAAAGGACTATGAAATACCTGTACAGATTGAAGATTGTAATAAAATGCATGATAAAAGAAGGGAGGGAGGGACTGGGAAAGGTTTAGGGATTGATACTGGAACTATAAACGGAATTAATCTCTCTTATTATTAAATCTCTTCTTATTAAATCTGAAGCTCATTCAAAATAGCTTAAATACGTATAAGAATGTAGGAGGTAACACAGTGTAGCACAAATAAATTTTGGCATCAAGTGGAAATGTTCCATAGCTTGGCTCTTGACTTATCAGCGGAGATCTTGAGGAAGCAACTTTTTTGAGTCTTAGTTTCAATATCTGTTTAAAAAAATAAGGGAACAGATATGTCAATTACTAATAATACATGCAAAGTGCACAGCTAATAAGTAGGTGCTCAATAAGTAATATCCATTAACTGAAATCATCTCTCTTCACAAAGTCTCTAGGTTACCAGTAAACCTGCAACCAATGTGCTTGGACTATCATTTTTCAAAATAAGTGACTTCCTTTGAAAACATAATGGAATCAACTGGGGAGGGGAAAATAGTCATTTTCCTGGAGCACCCAAGGTGAAGCTCTGGCAAGCAGACAAAGATTACAGAAAGGGGGGTTGCTGATTTGAATATTGCTTAAAAGATAATTTTATTTTTTAAGCAAGCTTTTCCAAAACAACTTGTTATTTTAAGTTTTATGAATTAAAAGAATTTATTCAATGTCTGTTTTTTAGGAGTCCCACTGAGTGAAATCTCAGAAAAAAAAAATCTTCAGCTGAAGCAATATTTCCTGGTGAAAATGTAGAGCTCCAAGAAACTCCAAGAACTGAAGAAAGGGTCTAAAATTAAAATTAATGCTATAAAACCACATAAAAAGCCACCAGACAGAGATACCAAAAGAAACTTTCCTGATATCTGTGTGACTCCTGTTAATCAGATTATTAGAGAGAGGAATTAAAAGAGCATAGTTATGGCGTGAAAAAAGTGGCTCGGGGGTTGTGTTGCTTATCCAGGGCTTTAGGATGGTGGTCTCAGCAGAATACGGAAGATATGAGAATATGATGCTAATTTTAAAGTAGAGGACTTCCCCTGAAAAAGCTAAAGATATCTTCATTGAAGCTCACCTTTGTCTAAACAAGACATGGTCTGGGACCTCCAATATAAGATCGTCCACTGGAGCTTTGTAGAATCTTTAGAACCAGCCCAAGTGGTTCAGGTTCACTGTTCAAGTAAGGTGAACCAGGGTAACATATGTGGCAGGTCACCATCCGCATGCATACCCGGCAGACTCTGGCCATCTGTGACCGGTTTGGCAGATTGATGTATGGACAAGAAGATGTGCTCAAGGATGTCTTGGAGTATGTTGTCTTTGAAAAGCACCTGACAAACCCTTATGGACGCTGGAGGATGCATGGCAAGATCATCCCTCCATGGGCACCCCCTAAGCAGCCTATCCTTAAGACAGTGATGATCCCTGGCTCCCAGCTGAAACCTGGAGGAGGCTATGAAGAGCCACAAGGAGAGGCCATAAGCCTCAGCTAGCCTGATGGCAAAAGTGCCTCCTGAGGTGAAGTATGGGTGATGAGGTGGCTGGGAGCTGTGAAGTCATCCATCTCCATCATGCTGCAGAACTACCTTTGTTCTCTCCTGTCCTGCTTGGGTGTTTACAGCAGTCTCATCCTCGATGACCACAGCTGATAGCTGGGCCCAGTGGGTGGCTGCTATGCACAGCTCGGGACCCACTTCTTCTTCACATTTTATATCTACCTTCTGGGTCTAGATGAAAAACACTGTTTTAGAGAATATATGACACCAGTTTTTCCTGCAGCTGGGACTGTAAGGAGCAAACTAACATAAGTTTCTTTCTTATCACAGGGCAGGGATCAGCATTTGAAATAAAACACTTTTGGGGTATTGGGGGGGGGAAGCATAGTTATAAAGAGTTTTGGAAGGACAGACAATAGGAGTAATAGGGCAGATTTCCAGGATGATCCCCTCACAGGGCATATTCAGAAATATTTATCCTCCTATTCCATGATCTTTCTACATTTGCCAATAAGTACTAACAGTTGCTTTCTGCCTGTCCATTTGTTCTCCCTGTTGCTTAAGCAACAGAGGAAGAATTGCTTAATTTGAAACTTTAGAATACAACAAAAGAAATTAAGAAAGAAAAGAAGAGTTATATAAAGTAAAAGAAATTATAGATGTATGCATACAAATATTTTACACCTTTGAACGGTCAGTCAACTTCCCTCCCTTCACCTGCCCTCCACACCCGGTGAGGATGAGCATTATTTTAGCTAAACTCGTTGTCTGCCCTGCTTCTTCATTATCTTTACCTGTCATTACTCAAATTATTCCCCTCTTGGATTCCAAACTCATCCTCACCATTACATTATGTGAACCCAAAACCATATACTCCTTGCATCATAAGGCATTATCCAATTCTAATTAGGCCTGAATACTGAAAAGCCCATTTTAAACAATACCCCCAAAACCTCATAAATAGTGCAACCTTGCCCTCCCTGCTCCATGATGCTATTAAAACTTTGTTAACTTAGAGAGTTCCCTTATAACGGTAAGCAACAGACTTTAAAGACAGCATTTAACACTTGCAATCCTTTTTGAATGGATGTTCTCCTTATTTAATTTACCATCGAAATCAATTCAAGTTTAATCTTAAAAATTAGTGTAGGCATGTTGGAATGGCTTTATTTATGCTATTATCGTGAAGTGCTTTCCCTTGTCTGAATAGCAATTTTGGAGAAAGAGTGTATTTGTTTTTAATATCTGATATTTGGGCCCAAGATTGAGCTTATATAGTAAAAATAATAACTCAAAGAAATGTTTTATTTGGGATGTACTACTGACTGGTCATAATTAGTTATAATAATAATCATAAATAAATAGGGTTTACAGGGGTATGATAGATTATGATATCAACTAGGTTATACACCTTAGAGAGTGAACCTGATAATCCTGTATCCTACCAGTGCATGTAGCATCTTGTATATAGTGGATGCTCAAGAAAATGTTTACATTATTATTTCTCTTCATTGCACCTGCTCAGGAACTAACCACTAACCTTGTCTTTGCTGTGTAACAGGTTTGAAGAGCCTATATGACCTGATGCTTCTATCCCTGGCATGACAACGTTTTAACAGCTGCCAAAGGAAATCTACAAAGAAACCACTTGCTAACAATGCTATATATTTTTTAAAAATCAGTACTTTGACTTTATACAGGCACTGATATCATATCCCCTTAATTTTTCTTCTTGCCATCTTCATTTCTCTCTCTTATCTAATTGACAGATAACTTAGCACCACAAATTGAACATAAGGGGTTTATTACGTAAGGAAAGGAGGTTGCTGTAGAAATAAAGAAACTGTCTCAGAAAATTTATTCTCCAGAAGAAAAAAATGTCTTAGCCTTCTATCAAGGGAACATCTGATCTCCTTATCTAGAAACAGGTTAGAACTGTTATCTAGTTTCTGACAAGACATGACTTTTATGTGTGGGGGTTATCAGTATTACTGAACTCTAAGAGTCTTTAGAATTCTAAGCCTCATTCAAAATTGGAGAAAAAGTGGAGCCCAACACACCAAAATTCTGGATTCTCTCACCCTCTCCACTTAAAGAAACAAAACAAAACAAAACAAAAAACCTCTTCGCAGTCTTTATTTCTGGGGTGACCTACTTCTGCAAGGAAGAAAAGCAGCATTGGAGTGTGCCAGTGAAAGCAAAGGTATTATTCTTGCTATGAGACTCCACCCCAACCAGAGCAACGCCTAATCCATTGCACTAATTCTGAGGGACTTTGATCTTTGTCCTTGACGGGAAGTAAACTCATCGAGAAAAGCAGACTGGCCAGGAAGAGAGACTGAAAAAGTGGACCAGGCCCCCAGGCAATATTTCAGATGCAGGGAAACCCTGGGGTACGCAGGCTTGGAGTCTCCTGTTTATTCTGTGACTGGGACACAGCTGGCTTTAAATAGGGACATTAAATATACAGCAATAAAATTTGGTCTGGGCCCCGATCATGTGGCACTTGGCCATTCGTCTAAAACAGCCAGGACCTGGCCCTGGTTTTGGCAACACAGGGAATGCCCATCAGCGGGCAGTCACACCTGTTAGAGGTTTCTCCGCTCGGTGCCTCCACCCCAGCGGACGCCTGAGGACCGGGGTGCAGAGCCTATGAATGAGGCCAAGAACCAGGGCCGAGTCTTCTCCAGAGGACTACCGAGGGACTGAGCGCGGAGGGCTGGGGCGGGGAGGGGCGCCCGAGAAGGCGGGAGCGGTCGAGACCGGCGGAGAGGGGAACGGGAGGGCCCGGAGAAGGGGCGTCGCTGCTCACATTACGTTCCAGAGCCTGCAGCAGAGGCGCCGGGGCTGAGCAGCGGAAAAGATGGGGTTTGCACCAGCCTCCGCATTTCTCTTCGCAACCCCGGCGCCGCCGCCCCTCGCAGGGCCGCGGCGCCTGTTAGGCCGCTCAGGGTGAGCGCGGGCGCTGGCCAGGGGCACCTCGCCCCGGGCTGGAGGGGAGGGTGCAGCGGGGCCGCGGCTGGGGGACTCCGCGAGCCAGGAGGCCTGCGCCTCACCCAAGCGCCCCAGTTCCGCGGCCCGGACAGAGCTCCCTGCGCGCCCCCAGCGGGCCGGCAGGGGCTGGGAGGCGGCGCGGAGCTCGGCCCCTCGAGCCCGCAGCTCCACGCACCCGGCGGCGAAGGCGTGGGATCGGGCGCCACGTCAGCCTCGGAGCCCATGGCGGGCAGCGACGCGGATGGCAAGGGTCTGGCGCGGCGGGGAGGCGCGTCGCGGCGGCCGGCGGCCTCCAGCGTGCGAGTAGGCGAGGCAGCCGCCGACCGCCCGGAGCCGCTGTCCACTGCTGAAGCCGCGGCGGAGGGCGCCGAGCTGCCCGCCTGGATGCGCCTCTACTTCTACGGGATGCACGGGCTAACCCTGGACGTGCTCCTCTCCTCCTCTCGGCGCTTTGCTCGCAGCACCGACCTCCGAATGCTCGGCTTCTCCTCGCCCTACCGCTGCCTCCTGCACTTGCTCACCCACTTTGCCCTGGAGAAGGTCTACCTGCAGCAGCGGCGCTGCCCCAGCGCCTTCGTCTTCAATTTTCTCCTCTACCCCTTGGCGCACGTGGGTCTGCAGACCCTGGCTGACCAGGCTCTGCTGCTCAGCCTGAGCGACGGGCTGGGTGACGCGGCGGCGCCGGGGACGCTGGATCTGGCGCTGCAGTACCTGCTGGCGCTCTACCAGTCGCAAGTGTTCCTGAAGCGCTTCCTGCGCTTGCGGTACCGGCGGCAGCTGCCCCAGCGACTGGGCGCACCCCTCGCGCCTCCTGGCACCCGAACTGCTGCGGCGGTGGGTGGCCGGCGGCGACGACCCCGCGGCCCCCGGAGCACCGAAGGAGCCCCCAGCAAGGGGCTGCCAGACCTGTTCCGCTTCCTTTTCTACGGAATGCACGGCTTGTTGAATGAGATCTTCTTCACCTTCTTTTTTAACTTGCTGGGGCAGGGGGGCCGGGCAGCCAGCGGCCACACGTCGCTCTGGTCGTTCTTTATGTATGGCAGCTGCAGCTTCGTGGTGGAAAAGCTCTATTTCCACCTTTACTACAGTCGCGGTTGGAGCACCTGGAAGCGGGTGCCCATCTATGTGATCATCGTCTACTTGTGGGAGCTGTCCTGGGGGCTGGGACTCCGCAAGTGCGGCGCTTGTTCCTGGGACTATTCTCACTACCCGCTAAATTTCATGGGCCTCATCACCCTGACATATTTACCTGGTTGGGTATTCCTTAGTGTGTACCAGGACCTACTATCCGACGTGTTGTGGCGGGTGCAGTGCATACCAGTTGTCTAAAACAAACAAACAAACAAACAAACAAACAGAAAGGCTTTAGATTACCACCAACAAATGCGACTTCTTTTTCACTTTTAAAACAGAGGTCTTTTTAGCATTCTAATTTTTATACGTTTTACTAAACTCTTCCAACGTATTTCATGTGATTTTTTTTCCTTACTATTTGGAGCCCATTTATAATACAGTACTTTGAAATTTACTCAAAGTACTAATTCGCCAATATTTAAAAACCTCTACACGCTCAAACAGCAAATCCATTACACCTTAACACTGGAAAGCTGTGGGATTCACTTCTTTAGGCATAGGTGGGTGATAACTACTATATTTTCTTTTTTCAGTGAGGAAGTTCTTCAAATCAGAGACTAGTGATTTTTACAAGATTTAGAAAAATAGTCTGGTTTAATGGTGTGTTTAGTTTCTTTTTAATCCAATTTCACTTTACTTCCTTGCAATATTTATCAGTGACTGCTGAAACTCAGTGTCTTGTACTCCTGAAAGTTAATAACTCTAAAGTGCCTCCTGTCTAGTACACAAAGTGGAAAGAAACTGACAAATATGAAAACGTCCTATGAATCGATTTTTAAATAAATCTTCTCTAGCAACCCTAACAGGTAACACTATATTAAGTATTTGATCTCCATCCTGGAAATGATTGCTTTCAAATGTGGTTAGCCTTAAACTCCAAGTGCGTTAATGTTGATCAGATCCTATGTTTTCTATGGCTGTGTTTGTTACTGTGTCATAATGTAAAATATTTACCTTACATGTTCAAGGGCCAAGCCAAATTATACCACCCTCAGTAGTGCTCTAACCCTAAGGACTCTTTCTACATGGAACTTCAAGAATAGAAACAATTCCTTGGAATAAAATGAACTTGAATGTTCACTCTAATTGCACAAGGTCTAATTGTTTTCTGTGAATATAGATATGTATTTTCTGAGTATTTCTGCCATGGCTCACTTTAAACATTTTTCTTTTTTCTTTTTTCTCCTGGGTCCACATGGAGTTCTTGGGCTAAGCCTGGTGTGTAATTCAAATTATAAATTAATCATAACTTTTTGGTGACTCATTATTAATGTCTGCAAACTCCAAAGTTAAATGAGATGGTGTAAACCATTTTAAGAAATCATGTTTAATCAATTAATAATGTACTTTAAGGTTGTTTGCTATTTTATTATATTTTTAAAAGACAAGTAGAATTGAGTATGGCTCAGCAGAGGATGACTAACTTCTCAATTTTCATTATTAACATAATTAGAAAAACTTACAAAGTATACAAATGAATAGTTTCTATTCAAATTATTAGCTTGCCTATGCTATAAAAAAAAACTTTCTTTTCTCAAGAAAAAGTTTGCTATGGCAGTAAAAACAAATACGTCTTCAGATTTGATTAAGTCAGACATAATTGTGAGATTACTATATTATTTTAATTCACTATCTGAGGTTGTGAGCTAAATTATAGGTAATGCTATATAAGCAACCCCATCTGTGAAACTGATAATGTCAAACTTATTTTTTTTAGTCAGTCGAAGCTAAGTAAAAACTGTTCATAGTAAGCTAAAATGTTTGCAGAGAGTAATGTGTCATTTTATGATACCTGGTCATGGGTAAAAGATACCTGAAAACCATAGGCGGTTTTGTTCAGATGCTGAACAAAATATTTGTAATTCAAATGTGACACATGGGTATAAATCTGAGTTAACCAAATCCATGTCTTCTGAAATAGTTGCTACATGTACATATTTGCACTTGCAACCTTCACAGGCTACTCCTCAGCCCTGCTTACCTGCTTATCAGCATTCTCAGGGTCAGAAATCTGTCAGGAAATGGAAAAGCCTGCTACTTTTTGTTTGTTTGTCTTGCTTTTAGTGATAATTTTATTTAATAGAAAGGTCAAGGTTTTCATTCATTCAACGCACTCAAGAAATAGTTTAATTATTGAGCATTTATTTGCTAGGCCTTAGCTTGGACTCTGCAAATACAGCAGTAACCGGGCACAGACAAAATCTCTGCCCTTATGAAGCTTACATTCTAGTGTTTTTATTTATGTGAGATTATGCCTCTTTGCAAAGCTACTGCTTTAGTAATAGGCTGTGAGAAGTAGTTGTTATGAGGGTTTTCATCTGGCCAGTCCCTAGCAAAGGCCCTTTAACTCTCTTTTCAAGTTCTACAAAGAGCTTGGTGATGTAAGTATATTCAGTGAGGGATTATCCTGTCTGTTAACTCAGCACCTTGCTGTAGGGCTTCTCCTGTGTTTACTCAACCTCTTACAAGTGATGTTTTGCTACACCTTTGAACCTTCAAAGACAAAGCAGAAAAAGAAAAGAACCATCAGATCAATCAGTTTAGTTACTCATTAGTAATTCAGATATAAAAATGATAATTACAGGAAATACTTCAGTAGCACCACCGTTCGAAAACTGCTCTATTATATATAAAATATTAAGTAAATATATGTATATACCCATAAATATCTTAAATGATTATATATATGAGATATATCTTAAGAAAAGATATATAATCCTAAGTAAATATATCCATATATAAAGGTAACACACACACACACATATATATATATCCATATACATATATATATATATACACACACACACACACACACACCTGTTAGATCGACGAGGCCAAAGTGAGGCAGGATCAGAAGTTTATTCAGAACCCCTGTAAAGCAGACAGGCTGAATCCCAAATGACATCAGCCCAAACAGGCTGGGGCTCACTGCTTATAAAAAGCTTTGGCAGGGCTTTCTTTTGGCAGGCGCTTTGCGGTATGTACAGGAACAAAAACCAGGCAAACAAGATGGCAGTTGCTTGACCAAAACTGCCCAGGGTCGGGTTCCCAAACCAATGGGAATGAGCAGTGAACAATGAAAGGCCATATCTATAGAGGCACTTCTATAGCAGGGTGCTCTCTGGCCTAACACTCCAGCCTTTCGTTATTAAGGACTGGGGGCAGAAGTCATTTCTTCTGTAACTGCTTCTTGCTGGTGGGGGTGCTAAGGTCACAGGGATATAAACTTTGATAGTAGTCGGCTGGAATGTGGTACTGGCCTTCTGGAACTTAAGATAGGTGTTGGTATCAGACAGACAATTGAAGGAACATCATCTCACCAATAGACTGGTTGGTGAAGACCCAAACACAGTTCTGGAGAAATGAAGAAATTGGCATAGGATACAGGGACCAAAAAGAAGAGCGAGGAGAAGCATTAGCAGGGGTCCTGCTAAAAGAAAGAGTCAAGAGATACAATTAAATTTTAGCCTGAGCCCCAAGATTCTGAGAGCTGTTGTCAAATCTTTGAGGCCCAATCAGCTAGTTTATTTATTTATTTATTTATTTATTTATTTATTTATTTATTTATTCATTTTGCTGTATCTCTAACTAGAACAGATTGATTTGTTGTGGCAGAAATTTGGTCAGCAGGAAAAGACAGACTGCACGCACTTGGAGGATTAGAAAAGGACTATTTAATGTGCACCAGTGCTGACCCAGCAGAGTCACCTCCAAAGGTTGAGCCCCAATTCCAGGTTCCAGCCACCTTTTATACATGATAAGCTTCTGGGCATTTGGGGCCTTCTTGTTCCACTGTAGTTTAGGCGCTTGGCAAATGTTAAGGGAATTACAAAAGCCAGGGCGGGATCCCTGCACTGCCCAAGGGGCTGCACCTGGCTTGCCTTCTCATTCCCTGCTCTTGATTCTCAAACTGCTCCCAGCTGATTTAGAGAACATCTTGGACAGGGATTTCCCTTAGTGCCACATGAGGAAGAGGGGCAACAATCTCTCTGTCTGCTTCTTGCTGAAATAGGGGCATTGAAGGGGAGGGATACAGCAACTAGAGTTCTTCACCATCCAGAAGAGAGTAGTTGGGGATCCTTATTTGAAGCATAATTTGGAGCTATATTGTTTCTAAGCCAGAGGAAATAAAATGAGTTAGCATGTTGAGAATACAAGGGCCAGACAGGAGTACTATAAAAAGCATTAAGAGAGGACCAGCTAATGGGAGTACCCAAGATGTCCAGTATTTGTTCCTGTAACTGCTGGGCCATGTCCTAACTATTTCTGACTGATTAAAATAAAATCAACATTCCTCTCTTAAGAAGAGGCGTATTCCTCCCTTTTCAGCAATCAGTAGGTCTAACCCCCTTCTATTCTGTAATACTACTGCTGCTAAGGAGTCTACTTGATCCTGTAAGGCTACTAAGGATACAGAGTCCAGTGCTGGGATCAGTCCAGCAGGTGATGACCCTCGATTCTACTGATGGAGTCCTCAGGCACTTGCTGTAGACCAATCAGCAGGTTTCACTGTCCTCTTTAGAGTGACCTGCAGAGGATTGTTCTGGCTGGTGGTCATGCTCCAGGCAGGTTGGTTGTTGTATAGCACGTGAGCTGCCTTCACTCATGAGTAGTGGATCCAGGTACTCAGACCTGCAACCTTGAGAGCTGTGGGAGTGGTTAGTATAACTATATAGGGCCCTTTCCAGGTTGGTTTGAGGGGTTCCCTTTTCCAGTCTTTTATTCAGACTTGGTCCCCTGGTCTGTGGAGATATATAGTTATTCCCAGGGAAATGGGTATTCTTTTGGTTACCCACTTATGTACCTCAAGAACGGTTTTTCCTAGTCCTTGTAGTTGTTTTTGGATTTCCAAGTTTCCCAGTTCTTTAATGTCCCCTTTGAATTTGATTAGTGGGGGAGGTCTGTCGTATAAGATTTCAAAATGGGAGAACCCTATCTTTGCCTGAGGGATACAAAATACTTGCAGGAGAAATAGGGGCAGTATAACAGTCCATGGCATGTTGGCTCAAGGGTCTGATTCATGCATTCTACTTTCCCTGAGCTCTGGGGCTGGTAGGCTGTGTGCAAATTTCTTTGGACACCTAGCGTTTTAGCTACCTGCTGTACCATTTCTGGTACGAAGGCTGGGCCATCGTCCAATCTTATAGTGAATGGCATTCCATATCTTGGGATGCTGTCTCTCAGTAGAGCTTTAGTTACTTCTCTCACATTTTCTGTATGTGTGGGGTAAGCTACAATCCA